TCATCCCCTTCCTCTCCTGGGCACCTCAGCCCCCACAGCAAACCAAGCCTGTTGCCTCCGACACGCTCCCGTTCCCACGGGCCCAATTCTGGGAGCTGAATCCCGCTTTGGGCGCCAAAGGAATGAGCCCAAAACCATCTAGCCTGGTCCCGCTCGGGCTCTTTGCCCAGGAGTGGCCTGAGCTGGCGTGGGCTGCAGGGCAGGCTTGGACTGGGCTGCGCTCGGATGGCTTGGTGCCGGGACTTGGGGAGACCTGGTGCTCTGAAGCTGGGAAGGTGCAGCCAACCTTGGGCTAGGATTGGAGGCACTGCAGCCTAGGTGCCCTCTCCATGCTCCAGGGCAGGGGTGAGAGGGCCAGAAGCAGGCGGGCAGGGAGGAGGCTCAGGTCTCTAGCAGGGAGTGACTGGAGCGAGCTAGTCTGCCTCTACTGCCAGGTTGCCCAGGGCTGGGTCTCAGGTAGGGGTTTTCATGCAAGAGTAGCTCCTGCTTTTAGAACCAAAAGTCCCCAGTTTGGTTCCCGCCGCCAAAGATCCATCTTGGGATTATTCGGCTGTCTCCCCCTTGCAGTGTCACACTGGTCAATGGCGCCCCCGATTTGCTCACCACATAGGAGGGTCACATGGGGGAACCTTGAGCGGGCTACCTTTAGAGAGATGCTGGTTAGGTTCTGAGATGTATTAACGGGAGTGTTGTGGGCAAGACATGAGAAGTCATTCTCCCGCTCTCCTCTGCGCTGAGGAGGCCTCCGCTGGAGTATCGTGTCCAGTTCTGGGCACTGCATTGCAGGAAAGATGTGGGCAAACTGGAGAAGGTCCAAAGAGGAGCAACAAAAAGGATGAAAGGTCTAGAAGACATGGCCTATGAGGGAAGACTGAAAGAACTGGCTTTGTTTAGTCTTGAAAATGAGCCTGATGAGCTGAGACTCTAAGAGCCTGACAAGACCAGCTCTTGTTCTCGCCTCAGAGAAGACTGATAGCAGCTTTCAAGTATCTAAAAGGGTGTTACAAGGAGGAGGGAGAAAAATTATTCTCTTTAACCTCTGAGAAAAGGACAAGAAGCAATGGGCTTAAATTGCAGCAAGGGAGGTTTAGGTTGGATATGAGGAAATATCTTCCTAACTGTCAGGGTGGTTAAACACTGGAATAAATTGCCTACGGAGGTTGTGGGATCTCCATCACTGGAGATATTTAAGAGCAGGTTGAATAAATATCTGTCAGGGATGATCTAGTGGGTGCTTGGTCCTGGCATGAGGGCAAGGGACTGGACTTGATGACCTCTCAAAGTCCCTTGCAGTTCTAGGATTCTAGGATTCTAAGTTGCACGTTGAGTTGCCGAGCGTTGAGTTGCTGCCGCTGAAAGTCAATGAGACGTCCTCCCTCCGTTAGCTTCAGCAGGGCAAGGATCGGGCCCATGGGCTCATTGCACCAGCCGTCTGACAAGTTCCATGGGCTTTATCTCAACTATGCCAGCGCGTACGGGGTGACAGAGGTGCTGGGAGATTACAAGTGGGTCTAAATAAAGCAGATTAGCAGACTCTGTTCACTCTGGGTACTGTTGCGCAATGGCCCCAGACCGCAAGCTTGCAGCGCCAGCCTCTGACGCAGCTGTGAATTTTAAGTCAAAGTTACAGGCATCTGAGGCGGGGGAGAATTGCTAAACAGAGCAATTTCCTCCCATGCCCCATGATTGCCAGAATCCTTCAGTGAGCATGTTGGGTAGTGAGACAGCTCTGTGGGGAAGCAAGAGAGGCTACGTCTAGACAGTGGGCTTCTTGTGCAAGCAACTTTTATCAGAAGAGATCTTCTGCAAAAACTTCTTGCACAAGAGCGCGTTCACACTGCAAAAGTGCATCGAAAACGTGATGGGCTTTTGCGAAAGAGAGCGTCCAGACTGCATGGATGCTCTCTAGAAAGTAAGCACTGATTGGTACGCACAGAATAGCCACCAGGGCAACTGTGCTTTTCCCTCTTTCCTCTTTTTACGCAACGCCCCCCCGTTCCCCGTCCACACACGCCTTTTTGCGAAATAACTCTTTCGCATAAAGGCTTCTTCCTCGTAGAAAGAGGAATACCAATTGCGCAAAACCCCCCCTGTTCTTTCAATTCTCTTGCACAAAAATGCACTTGAGGTGTGGATGTGCTGCGAGTTTTTGCGGAAAAACAGCTGTTTTTCCGCAAAAACTCTGTAGTGTAAAAATAGCCAGAGAAACTGCCTGCTTTCTGCTGTATGGAATCTGAACCATTCTACTGTGTGTCATAACCCTTATACTGCTCCTAGCTCACATGGCAAAAGCCTAGCAAAAGGAGCTGGAGGATTTGAGTTCTAAACTAGCTGCTGCTATAAAGGCCAGGCACCGTAACCTCTACAGAGGCATCCACAGATTTGTTGCAATATCCAACTCCAACCAAGTCCCTGTTCCCCTCTAACCATTAGTCTATCCTACCTGGCAGAGGAGGGCTGAG